TTTTTTGTTAAAAATAAATGCACTGTTGGTTAAGGGCTGTAAGTAAGCATTTCACTGTAATGTCTGCACCTGTTGTATTCGGCGCATGTGACCAATAACATTTGATTTGATTTGATTTGATTCAAGACCATTAAACCCCTACAACTCATCCAGAATGCCGCAGCCCGTCTGGTGTTCAACCTTCCCAAGTTCTCTCACGTCACCCCGCTCCTCCGCACACTCCACTGGCTTCCAGTTGAAGCTCGCATCTGTTACAAGACCATGGTGCTTGCCTATGGAGCTGTGAGGGGAACGGCACCTCCGTACCTTCAGGCTCTGATCAGTCCCTACACCCAAACGAGGGCATTGCGTTCATCCACCTCTGGCCTGCTGGCTCCCCTTCCTCTGCGGAAGCATAGTTCCCGCTCAGCCCAGTCAAAACTGTTCGCTGCTCTGGCACCCCAATGGTGGAACAAGCTCCCTCACGACGCCAGGACAGCGGAGTCACTCACCACCTTCCGGAGACATTTGAAACCCCACCTCTTTAAGGAATACCTGGGATAGGATAAAGTAATCCTTCTACCCCCCCCCCCAAAAAAAAAAAAATATTGTAAAGTGGTTATCCCACTGGCTATTATGGAGGACTAAAAGTGCCACAATTAAATAAATAAATACACCATTAAATAATTACTTAAATGTGTCATTAATTAATTCAAATTAGAATTAAATACATAAATGTGTAATTAAATGTATCATTAATTAATTCAAATACCGATTCATTTTATGTAAAATACATATATAATTATTTCACTATTTACATTTACATTTCATGATCCTGCATTGCAGTGATTCATGAATTACTTAAAACTGTCAAACTGACCCATCAAAGTCAGTGGGCGGGGCTAACGCGAATCTAGTCTGATCCATTGCTTTGGTCTGAAGTAGAGTAGGCCAACCTGGATAGAGACAATGGAGGATCTCCGTGAACTTTCCAGGGAGTTGGTTAGAGACATTTTAAACATAGCAGAGGATGTAGAAGCAGGACCTGCTGACATTATCCGGAATTGATTTGTCTTGGCTTGATGCAGAGGGTAACCAATCAGGCGTTAGGTTCCGCCTACCAACTTTTGATGGGTCAGTTTGACAGTTTTAAGTAATTCAGGAAGCACTCCAACGCAGGACCATGAAATGTAAATGTAAATAGTGAAATTATTATATATGTATTTTACATAAAATGAATCGGTATTTGAATTAATTAATGACACATTTAATAACACATTTATGTATTTAATTCTAATTTTAATTAATTAATGACACATTTAAGTAATTATTTAATGGTGTATTTATTTATTTAATTGTGGCACTTTTAGTCCTCCATAGGCTATAGGGTGAATGCACCAATTTGTAAGGCGCTCTGGATAAAAGCGTCTGCTAAATGACGTAAATGTAAATGTAAATGTAACCCTTCCCTTTAAATACGTCACTCATTGCTTCAAGCCACACCTCGCCACACCCATTAAACGGAAGCAAACGTACCTCGAAGTCTGTTCAAGAACGTACAACAACGTTTTGGGGAAACGTGTCATTCAGTAGAAACCATTCCGCAATGGAGCAAATGTTCAAGAAAACTGAATGCACCTCAGGGTAATTCGACAAAAGCAATGCTGCCAAAAAAAATCATTGCGACATGTGAAATGGAAATGGCATGTATAGGAGACATTTTCTAAAGATCAACAAAAAATGTATCCATCGACAGGGGTGGATTTTTATTTTGTCAAACTTGCTTTATTGCAACACATTATGATGGAAACAGTGTTTTTCAAATAAAAGATGATTGCCGAATAAATTTGAATGTACACGGGCACAAAATGTCATCACGTAACTATAAAGTTCCAGTCCACATTTTAATTCTAAATGCCTACTGTTTGCTAAATAAATTTTTTCAGCTATAAAAATGTTTCTTTGCAGGACAGGGATTGACCTGACTTTCAAGAATGACTTAATTGCTTCGCCTTGCTTTCTGGTTGGCTGTGATGGAAACATTAAGTTTCGGTAGGCCTACAATTGTATACATTCTGACAGATCATTTGTTCGGTCGACATGGGATCCATTTGCGTGGGTAAAATGTATTATGCTAGGAATGTCGGTGGAAACGCCTATATGCGCAAATATTGATATTTATAATCATATCGAAGAAAACTTGGGAGTCACGCGTTGATATACTGTGTGGTCCTCCCACTACGACTCGGGAAACCATTCAATTTATTAGGCTACAGATTAAATAATTTATGATGAACTTCACAGGGTGGTGGAAGTGCACGTGATCTTGATGCTCCATTCCTATACATATCGAGGGTCATATTCAGGTAACATAATGATCGAGGCTTTACTGCCATTTGACAAATACAAATATTCTCGCTCTTATCCATAATAATCTCATCATGTAGTCTAGCCTACCCACACAGCCTACCTGCACTATAACTGCAAGCTGCTGGCTATGAGCACATGCCAAAACCATTGTAGGGACATTTGCTATTTAATGCAACAGTTTTTGGTCAAAATGGGATGGAAATACATTTTATTTGGTACATGAAAACTTAAATGAAAAAGTACATTTGGTGTGCACTACATCATCAGGCACAGCCTTTTACCCGCTACAAGTCAATTTGATGAAAACATCTCTGGTGGGAAAATGTGCATATTGTTTTAATGCAGATTTGAGAATATTCACATAAAAATCTGTTGCGAATTGGACACAAGATTTTATGGACACCAGATGGTTAAATGGAAACGCACCCTAGCAGGCAATTGTGACGTCTATTTTCTATGTAAACTTTCTAAATGTCGACCAAAAAAATCACTGGACAAGTTAATGGAAACATAGCTAGTGTCTTTCGCTCCTGCTAGCCCTAGTAAGGAGAGGGAAGTAGCTAGCTAGATAGATCTGGCCAGGGTGACAACTAAAGCACATTTATAGCTGGAAAAGGGTTTCCTGACTGAACTGAAATCGTTCCTCTGGCGTAGGATCAGATAGGGCCAAAGTAGTGGAATAGTGGTGAGGTTTTAAGGAGTACAGGGTTAGTTGGTAGGGCAATTTTTTCACAAAGTGTAATGGATTCATACTACAGAAGAGTAGGCTGATACACATCCAATACAGTAGGTGGCGGCATGCACATATAACATTTGTTTGCAGACCGCCATAATACCGAAGAAGAACAAGAACAAGAACAAGAACAAGAGTTGGAGGGTGGGGTTAAGCAGTTACATCACGGACACCCCCCTCGATGACGCTTTGGCAGGAGAAACGATAAAGTAGGAGCACAGACTGGCAGAACCACAGATTATCCATCATATAGACAGACCTCTTTCCAGGACGCGACACACTGACTTCACGCACAAGGTGTGTAAGTATTTAAGATCGCTGTCGCCACCTGCGCCCATTTAACATAGCCTAGATTTAAGTTTTTATTACTTCTAAACAAAATAACTTTGTGGGGTTCTTATACGCTTACAATTATGTTTTCATTCTTGTTTGAACAGTTACTAATATTATATTTGGTTGTGATCTTTGCACAATAACTATTTTGGATGCAGCAGTTGTCAACTAGACAACTAGTCAACAAGCTCATTGATATAGGCTGTAGAAAAGGCTAGCCTAAGAGCCATTTTACTGGTTGAAGTTGAAGTGTTTTTTAAAAGTATAATGCAGTTGATTTGCGATGATGACACATACATTATGTTAAGTAGGACATTCATTCATAAGAGCCTTAAAATCCGATTATAATCCAAAAGTAGTGTGAAATGCACTCATAAACAACATGTAAATAGAGTTTTCTATAAATTCTATAAGAACTTCCCCTTGTTCTGCCACCAACCTACGCGCATCGCCTTCATGTCTTCAAGAATGGAAGGCAGTCGGGAGGAGGCAAGATCAGGGTGGATCATTCTAGCCAATGAGTGGGCAGGTACATGTGTGAACAACAGGCACAACTCCGATAAATAGTTTTTTCTCAAAGTCGCCGGGATGTCACGTGTCCTACTTATATCAGTATACTCGTAACAACCTAAGCATTGCGAAATGTATATTCAATCAAATAAGCCACATGTAGAAAATAAACCATAAATTTTTTGTTAACCAAATTCGACACTCATTGACCTTCATACCAAAACTCCCCGCTTGGAGAGCGAAACAACGCCACCTGCTGGAGAAGACAGATTTTAAACCCAGTTATTCCTCTCGCTTCACCTCTTTCTTTCTGGCAGAACTCCTATCCACCGTGGGAGTATTTAGAAAGCAAGCTTGTTGTATGAATAGAAGGCGATAGTGGAAACGGTGCATTTCGGATAATGGAACCTAATCAGTGCACCAACGAAGGCTGGACAAAAAACTAAGGAGGCTGTCGCGCATTTTCGAAAACTTCTGCTGTGCTCAAAATGGTAAACTGACTTTCTTGTTATGAAACTGAGCATGTTGGCTAACGTTGGCTGCTTGTAATTGTAATAAGCCAATAATAACTCAATATAATTTAGCTAGACGATTATTTTCATATCTTTGATATACTTTGTCGTTACAGTTCAAAACTGATGAACGAACCCGTGTGCCTTGGAGTTTGTGAACATATGCTTTGCAGGTAAGTAGCTGAGTGGCCAACCGCGCATGCGCCGATTATGTACAGGATAAACTGAACAGGATAAATAGACAAATATTTAGACAAATATTTTACAGACAGCACTGAACTCTTCAACAACCTAGACTCACTGTTGATTCCCCCTGGGGACAGGTTACAACTGTGACTGTGTCACTAAACATGATAATTAGCTAGACAAAGGACTAAGCTTTCCCATCGTTTCCCCTGTAGGTAGGTACAACCTGCAGGATATGAAAGATAGTATTCTTTAACATAGGTAGGCCTATATACCTAAGCCCTGAATGATAGTATTACCATGTATTCACTCGGATTTTTTTTCTCCATATCTCTCATCAGCCTCCCTGTTAATGACAGTAATGATATAATGCCATTATGTATGGTGATGTTTAGCTTGTAGACCTGAGCTCTAACAAACAGGGGTGATGTTCATGTTGTTGCAGTGGTAGAGGACTACACTGACTGGCAGCTACATGCCCCCTGGGTCACCAAATTAGATGCTAGCTTGCTTGCTAGGCAGAACAGGCTGGGTGTGTGACAAGCAAGGCAGACTGTGAATGAATGCAGAGCAGACAACCGAACACAACCACAGGGGATTCTAGTTTAATATAAATTGTACAGTGACAAGGAAAGAGAAAATTATAGTGCTACCTTACCACTTTTTTCACCAATGCCATTATAGCCCTTGCATTTGATTCGTTTTTGGAAATGTAATGTCGTTCCCAGACATTTCCACCCAAATGCGCGAAGAGTCTGGTGGACCAATGCGTCAAACTTGGAGAAATTCCTGGTGCATAGGCATTGGCTTAATGGACTTACTTTACCAACCAATCATCTCCCACAACACCTTCACCCTAACCCTGCCCCGTACGTGTCTTGTGCACCTCAGTTTACTTACCCCTTGCATTCAGCCTCACAGTCGTGTGATTTATTAAAATGAAATGATAACAAATACTTTACTCACTAGGTCACTCCAATAGTATTCTATGTTCACTTCCATTAAGGCCAACTTTGAATCGTTGATATCCCAGGCTTATATGCGCTGTGCGCAATAGCCTGGGGACGAGGTTATTGGAAATGCAATAGTCTAATGTACATTGACTTGCAATGTTAGCTTAGGTGAGAGAAGTTTTGGTGTGTGGTTTTCAGTCCTTTTGTTTTCTTCACTCATTTCAGATGCCCTTCCCATTGAACTACAAGCACAGTCAGAGAACTCTGTGTTAAAGCACAAGAAAAACGTCAAGATCTGGTTCAGTTCCCGCAGCCGTAAGGTGTGTTGTCGGGTAGAGAAGCCTGCGGAGATACCACAACCATCAGACCGTGAGACGGGGAGTGGGAAAGCAGCCCCAAGACCTCCCAACACAATACCTGAGTCCAAGTTTAAAGACCTGTCTGTCTTTAACTTCAACTCCTCCTCCCTTTACTCGGGCTCCTCCTCTCCTCAGAGAGCGACTAATGATGACAAGAAGAAGAAGGCAACTAAAAAGACGAGAAAGTGGTGTCAGGAAGCCTGCAGCCGGGGGTTGGCAGAAACCAACGACACGTAAAGGAACCAAGCAGAAGATCAAGATGCAGAGGTTGGAGGTGATCAACTGGCAGTGGGGCTTTGGTGGAGAAGGAGATGTCAAGAGAGGAAGGAGAGCAGGTCAATGCAGGGGAAAACGAGTGATTCTGCAAAAGGGTTTCTTACCAGAGCCAAGCTACCCTACCTGTGGAACCCCAGAAGGAGGATCACCAACAGGGGAATACCGTCATCCTAAGCCCCAGCAGAAGCATCCTAAAGGTGGGTCAGCCAGGAGAGAGCATCCTTCTGTTGGAGGACCAAGACCAGCCTGCACCAAGCACATACACCAGCCCCTCTCAGCTAGATAAGCTCTCTGCTAAACACCTCAAACAAAATGAGAAATCTACTACAAAGCTGGTTCTATTCTCTCCTCCCAAGCACACTCCCAAAAGATCCCGTGCAGAAGAGAAAAACGTTTCACAGAGTACCCCAAAGAAAACCAAGGCATCTCCCAGCTAGGGTAGACGTCAGACAGGGGAGAGGGTCCCACTCCCAGCCCTGTCTACCCCTCCCTCCCATGCTGACAGCCCCAGACAGGGATGGACCACCGCCAGCATCAGGAGATCCAGAGGAGGAGAGCACCAGAGGGGCAGCATTCCTTGTTCCCCAGCCTCCCTGGGGAAGAGACCTCCATGGAGAGTGTCACAGAGCAGCCCAGCTGTGGTGAAAAGAAACCACAACGGAGAGACACCCCTGCACCTGGCTGCCATAAAGGTGAGATTAACAGGACTTGTGTCACAGGGTATGGGTCAGTTCTTAAGAGAGATGGTAAAATACCCTCCAAACACAGCAGTTGATCTCAGGCTGATCCCAGACCTGCTGCTTTTATCAATCATTCCCAGGTTCTGTTACTAGAGACAGGTGAATATGCTCTCCAAACACAGCAGCTGATCCCAGACCTGGTGCTATTATCAACCATTCACAGCATTGGAACATTGATTACCTTGTGGAGGAACGAGGCAGGGATTACAGCTGTGTTTACAGGGCTTATGTTAAGCTCCCCACTATTCTCCCAGGGCTGAGAAGGGAAGGGAATGCTTGTCTGATCAACTAAGACTAGTACAATGGGCAATGAGAGAACCACAGTACAACCAGGAGAGATTTAGAAAGTCCGATTTAAGACAGATTCGAAGGCACCCAGAAAACCTTAGACTACAATAAAATACAAGAGTAACATAAAACCTGGGGGAATATGTCTCTCTTATTTCTGACTGTGTCCCAAATTGCACCATATTGCCTATATAGGGCATAGGGTGCCATTTGGGACAAATATGCTGGTTGTGTGAAGGGCATGTTCTCATGTCTCTAATAACTGACTCTGTACCTGTGAACCTGATTTGATAATAGCTGCAGGCCCCATGATGCCTTTGTAGGATCAGTTTGGATGAGCCAATGTGTTTGAATGGCATGTTCACATGTCTCTACAAACTGACCCTACACCTGTGGCCTGTCTCATCCATCTGTCCACCCCACAGGGAGATGTGGAGACAGTAAAGGAGCTCCTAGACCAGGGTGCTGACCCCAACCTGAAAGACAAAGCTGGATGGACCCCACTGGTGAGTGAAGCCTCGTCTCCCTGTCTAGACAGCAAAATACAACCAACCATCTACAGTACATGTTGTTATAGCATGCCAGTCTTTAACTTTGTCCTGCCCGATACAAGAGCTGTTATACTTAAGCATATTGCTAATCTATGACTTTTGTATTTTTTAACAACGTAACTGAATATCTACGGTAAATATTCAAGTGAAATGTACCTTTATTTGTAATGTTATCAGTGCGAGTGATGTAGTATTTACATATTAATATGATACAGCAGGGATTATCAACTAGATTTTTTCTTGAGCTGATGGTTGGGGGGCCGGAACATAATTACAAATCATTTGTAGACTGCAAATTGACCGCAAGAAGCCCAAACCGATATAATATTTCACTAAAACATAATCATTTCAAACCTTGCTTACACTTGTATACGATCACGTCTTTCTATTATGCATGGGAATACTTGGGAACAGATTTTCAAGATTAAAATCACTCGGAACTGATGTCCTGGCGGGCCACCAGTTGGGGAACCCTGTGATACAGTATGTAATAGGAAGGATGCAATTACCGAAGTATGTAGTAGGCCTATACTCACGTTTATAAACTGGGTAGTTTGGATACTGGTTGCTGATTGGCTAAAACAGCATTTAGCCGTGTGTATGTGAGACCATATGCCATGACTATGACGTTTAGCCTTTTCACCTTGATATCATTGCGGCTTTTCACCTCGATAAAATGGCTACATCAACAATAGTTCAACATGCCAATGTAGAAAAGAAGCGTTTAGATGAACTTGAGAGAAATCTAAATGAAAATAACACTGTGAAACAAACAAAGTGGGCACTTACCTGCTTCACTGACTGATGGGCAGAAAAGGGGATTCATTGTGAGTTTGGGAATACAACAAAAACAGAGCTGAACGTCATTCTACAGGACTTTTATGGTTCAGTGAGAAACATGAATGGCGAAGAATATGGGATTAGCAGCTATGCTGGACTCAGAGCTGGTTTGAACTGACATATCAACGACCCCCCCCCTCTCAGTGTGGCATGGAATATACAGAAGGACGCCGAATTCACAACAAGCAACAATGTGTTTGTAGGCGTAATTAAAAAGTGGAGGAAAGGGCCGTAAAAACTGCCCACCACGCAGCCATAACTGAACACGACATGCAGCTCATCAAACAATCCAAGGCTCTGGACACTGAAACACCTGAGGGTTTGGTGAACAAAAGTGTGGTTTATTGTTCAACTTCATTTTGGGGAAGGCGGGAAACCGTTTTCTTAAAACGGACTCATTTAAAATATGTACAGACATGGTTTCTGCATACATTTCATGTACGTTTGCTAGCTAGCCTGTGGTTATGTTGCATATCAACCAGTCTAGCAACACGACTTTTGTCCGGACTACTTTTTCTGGCGGAATGTATTTATTATGAATGTATTTATTAAAGCAACATTTTCAATTTAGATGTGTTGTTCCTGGCCTTGCTGTGTTGGCAACTGGTTTATAAGAGCAATAAGGGACCTCGGGGGTTAGTGGTGTATGGCCTATATACCACGGCTAAGGGCTGTATCCAGGCACTCCAAGTTGCGTTGTGACTAAGAACAACCATTAGCCGTGGTATATAGGCCATATACCACACCCCCTCTGGCCTTATTGCTTAAATGTATAAGGTATGTAATAACGCTCCTGTGTTTCAGCACGAGGCGTGTAACCTGGGCCACCAGGGTGTAGTGGAGCCGTTGGTTAGGAGAGGGGTGCTATTGAACACACCAGGCAATGAGAACGACTCTCCTCTACACGACGCTGTAAGGGTCAGACATATTGGCATTGTCAAGCTACTGATGCAGCACGGGGCGTTCTCAGAGCATCTTTGTGAGTATGGATAGAATAGAGAAGATGTTTATTTGTCCATCCTTTGCACAGAAATTCTTTGTTTGCCCTCACAGTCATAGAGATCGTATATGTAATTTTACATTTAAGTCATTTAGCAGACGCTCTTATCCAGAGCCACTTACAGGAGCAATTAGGGTAAAGTGCCTTGCTCAAGGGCACATCAACAGATTTTTCACCTATTTGGCTCGGGGAGTCGAACCAGCAACCTTTCGGTTACTGGCCCAACGCTTTAACTGCTAGGCAACTGCAGCCCCAAGGAAAATTATCACTACCTCAATCTCTTTTCATGCTGACTTCATCCAAAATCATTCACCTGAAGTCAGCATGAAAAGAGACTGAGGTAGTGATCATTTTTCTTGTTGCATGATGTGCACTAGATGGATAACCACAATCACACAGTAGGTGACACTGATTGGTTGTTGGATGGTCAAGTGTTGTGACCTCGTGATGTACAGGCCAATGGAGCGGGGCCGATGTATTCTGGTGTGTGTGTTGTGAGACAGGACAGTCATTAATGGAGAGCTGGAGGAGCAATTGCTTTCTTTTTTTTGTCCTCAGTCTTTTCTCTCGCTTCCTTCCTTCCTTCCTTCTCTTTTTCCAGTCTTTTCTGTCTCCTCCTCCTTCCTTCCTTCCTTCTCTTTTTCCAGTCTTTTCTGTCTCCTCCTTCCTTCCTTCCTTTCTCCTCTTTTTCCAGTCTTTTCTCTCTCCTCCCTCCTTCCTTCATTCCTTTTATATTTCCCCCTCTCTCTACCCCCCCCCCCCATCTTTCCTTTCTCCTTCTTCCTTCTCTTTTCCCCACTGCTCACTGCTGTAGTGGGTGGCGCCCGGGGCCTTGGCGAAGGAGGTTAGCGACAGCAGATTTACTCAGGTTTATCCTACCTGCCTGCCTGCCTGCTAGTTGTCTGCAAGGCAAAAGAGACAGGGGCCCAGACAATCTGTCATGATGCCACAAGACAAATGCAACCCTTGCCCGTCACACACTATCAATTAATCTAGCCTCCACACAAACGCAGGGATGCACACACATGCTGCCACACACACACACACACACACACACACACACACACACACACACACACACACACACACACACACACACACACACACACACACACATACCCCCTGGTCAGAAATTATTTCCCTGAAGGCTGGGTTGGAGTCAGACAGAGAACCAGTGCCACACAGAGCTGCACAGTGAGGGGAAAACATCTGGGTTGTTCATTTATAGCAGGGTTTGTCATATGTAAATGGGGTAAATTTGAGCAAACTTTTGGACAGAACGCTTTGCACTGTGTACAGTATGTGTGTGCAACTCTGAATTGATCAATTAATACATTTTCCCTCATCAATATGGAAGGCATGTCATTGCATTTTGGTACACCAGAAGAACATTAATTTCCAATGGAACGCTGCGTTTGCAGTGTGTTCTGTGTGGTGCGTATGTTGGATTTATCCAACGTATGCATCAAATTGTATGCGTAACCTTGACAGAAATAGTAGCAAAAGGTGAATATCGATCGAGGCGTTGGAGACACACTTGCCCAAAACATTTTCCATGCCTTTAACTTTTATTTAGCAACTCCGTTGGTGTGCTGTTCAATAAACCAAAACGATGTACTTCCTTTCAGTGTGTATGTGTGTGTTTGTTTGTGTGCGTGTGAGTGTGTGCGTGCATCTGTGTGTGTTTGTAGGTGTGTGCCTATCTGAATATATGTGTGTGTGAGAGTTTGTGTGTGTATCTATCAGTGTGTTTGGGGGGGGGTTTGAATCCAAATGAAATATTTTATGGACCAGTGGACCTATTAATTGTCCCCCAGGTGTTATCTTTGCTGACGCCTAATCTTTAGGCACCAACCCGTTCTTCTTCTCCTCCTTTTTCTCATCCCTCCTTCTTCCCCTCCTCCTTCAGGAACGTGCCGTTTCACTTTGTCTTCAGTGTCTCTACGCTGCGTTGCTGCACACTGGATCCGCATAGTTTGTGTGTTCTTGTATTATATTGTCACCAATGAGTGAGTTCATGTTACCATGATCCATGCCTGTGTAACCCTAATCTCAGCATCCAGAAGAAAATCTGTCTTTCATGCAGGCCAGCTACAAGATGGTAAAGGGTATGTCACAAGAGACCAGTATAACCATTGATTAGTGTCAGGATACAGTGTTTTGTATGGTTTGTCTGGTTTAAGTCTGTGACATAAACTGTCTATCTCTGTCTAACAGGAATAAGTTTGGTCTTTGTACTGTGGACTATGCTGTGAACCCAGAGATGCAGGCAATCCTTCGGTCAGCCTCTGAAGGACCCCAGTCAGTCAGCCCCCATATCAGTCCTCCACCCAACCTCAGTAAGGTATCAGCCCAACACTGTTCTCAGACAAAATCAATGTTACATTAACGATTACTGAATTTACTTTTCTCCAATGTACAATACAACTATGAACAAAGGAGTTTAGAGGAGTTGTGGTATTGTGGGTAGTGTTTTAACTGGTCTCTGAATTTGTTTATTTATTTTTTATCAACGGGCCTGTATAAATTAAGGTCCCCCCCCCCAGAAAATGTATGTAATATCTGAGTTGGTCTGTCTACTGGCTATTGTCTTTCAGGCCAGTGATGGGGTGAGACGGAAGGAACAGGTGGTAGTATTGGGCAGTAAACTGTCCCAGTCCCAACAGAACGAGCTGGCCAAACTGGGAATCCTCCTGGGAGGAAAGAGGGCTGATGCCTTCTCCTGCTCAGGTAACTTACCTGTCCACTTCAACCTGCTGGAGCACATTTGATACCTTAACTGTATCTGACATGATCTCATCACAACCCAAGATAGTCTAACCATAGTGCTTAGATACTACCGCCAAACCTAGTGCATTTGGTTTGGACCTTTTCTGTTTTGCTGAAGCACTATCTAGGTTTGAGTAAGATACACCAAAGACAGTTTTAGTAGTGTGAAAGGAATAGTTGCTTTCTTGGAGCTTTGCAAATCCTAGTAGTAGAGAGCAACAGAGAAGGCAGTTTGTCAGCTCACTGGTAATGGCAGTTAGAACAGGGAACATGGCTGAATGTCTGTAAAGTAATTGAAGTAATTTCTCATAAGCTGTTTGTGACTTCTGTTGTGATGAACATTAGACTACAGTATTCAAACGAACGGAAAATGGAAGTGTTCGTCTCTCTCTGTGTCTCAAAGTCTGTCTTCAGGGCTTTGGGTAGTAAAGACTTTAGTGTCTGAGCATCGCCTATTATTTTAAAGTGAAGGCAAAGCAAAGTTCCACAGCATGTAAACCATAGAGTTTAGCCCAGAGATACAATTAAGGTCATTTTGCAGACTGTCAGCCACAGAGCCTTGTTGACTGAAGAGGCAATAAGAATGTCTTACATTTTTTATTAGAAGAAAGTCACATTATCTAAGCCTGTTGTGAATGGGGCTGATTATACCCATGTCTGTGTTACAATCACTCACAGCAAAGACATTGCACGACACTGCCAAGCTTTTTATTTAAATAATGTTATGGAGTATTCTATTAAACTTTTATTCAACTGTCTATTTCTATTCATTGGAACATATTGTGAATGGTAGCTCTTCCAATGAAATCCAGTTTTTCTTCTTCCATTCCTCCAGTCACCAATGTGGTGGTACCAGACAGGCCGATGCCCACCAACATGTCCTCTCTCCTGGGTCTCCGGAGCGGCTGCTGGGTCCTCAACTTCAGCTGTAAGTAACCTAAGGCCCTATAAAATCTGCGTTGCGGAGAACAAGGACTGAATCACGGAATCCAGACATTAAAACGGAATTCAACAATATTCCAAAATGTATTGAACTATATTGAATTAAATATAAACGCAACATGTAAAGTGTTGGTCCCATTTTTTCATGAGCTGAAATAAAAGATCCCAGAAATCTTCCATATGCACAAAAAGCTTATTTCTCTCTAATCTTGAGCACACATTTGTTTACATCCCTGCAAGTGACCATTTCTCCTTCGCCAAGATAATCCATCCACCTGACAGGTGTGCCATATCCAGAAGCTGATTAAACAGCATGATCATTACACAGGTGCACCTTGTGCTGGGGACAATAAAAGGCCACTCTAAAATGTGCAATTTTGTGACACAACACAATGCCACAGATGTCTAAATTTTTGAGGGAGCGTGCAATTGGCGTGCTGACAGCAGGAATGTCCACCAGAGCTGTTGCCAGATAATTTAATGTTCATTTCTCCACCGTAAGCCGCCACCAACGTCGTTTTAGAGAATTTGGCATTACCTCCAACCGGCCTCACAACCGCAGACCATGTGTAATCACGCCAGCCCAGGATATTCACATCCGGCTTCTTCACCTGCGGGATCGTCTGAGGGGGGAGGGGGGTGCTGAGGAGAATTGTTGTCTGAAATAAAGTCCTTTTGTGGGGAAAATATAATTCTGATTGGCTGGGCATGGCTCCCCAGTGGGTGGGCCTGGCTCCCAAGTGGGTGGGCCTATGCCCTCCCTGGCCCACCCATGGCTGCGCCCCTGCCCAGTCATGTGAAATCCATAGATTAGGGCCTAAAGCATTTATTTCAATTGACTGATTTCCGTCTGTGAACTGTAACTCAGTAAAATCTTTTAAATTGTTGCAAGTTGCGTTTATATTTTTGTTCAGTGTGTATATATAAATGTATTGAACTTATTAGAAAATGCATTAATTTGCCGAAGTTAATTATAAGACATTAACAAAATTCATCAATGATTTGTATTTTCCAACAACTTTCTGAAATGGCACAGGAATGCCCCTCTCTGTGTGTGTGTGGTGCGCACGCGTATGTCTACGCTTTGTGTAGCTGTTAGCAATGATGCTAATGATAACTTTCTGGTAGAGATGGAAAGGCTTTCCCCAAAACCTTCTCAATTAAATCTTAACTACAAAGTAGCCTATGCCTACCTGGCAGAATTATGTCATGTTATTTGTTTAGCAAACTCTGCAATCACATGAGCACTACAGAAACATTGCTAACCAAAGAAATAAGTATCTTACTGGTGCACACTTGCATTAAAGGGGAACTACACCAAAACATGTAAATGTCTTTAGTTTTTCCCAGACCTCAAAAGTGGTCTCCTGATGTGGTTTAAGCATTGTTGTGGACATCCAATTGTGTTGTTTTTCTATAAAAAATGTGTAATTTTGAGAGCGAAAACCTGAAAGAATTGGGCAAAATTGAATTTTGGATTTGTTTTATTGGAAATTGTCAAAAAATATAATTATTAGGGGCCTAGTAACTTGCACCTCTACCTCATACAGTAGCCTACACTACACCTCTACCTCATACAGTAGCCTACACTACACCTCTACCTCATACAGTAGCCTACACTACACCTCTACCTCATACAGTAGCCTACACTACACCTCTACCTCTAACCATGACTTTGGCCTATATGAACTTAAGATACTTATCTAATGTTATTAAGCATCTTATTATTCTTATACAACCTGTGTCCCAAATGGCAACCTTTTCCCTTAAAGTTGGTTGCCAACCGCCATATGAAGTCCGAAGAAGAAGCCATTACTAGAAACAAACTCTGTTTACACTTTTATCTGTGGTTTAATTGTCGGAGTACAGTCGTGGTCAAAAGTTTTGAGAATGACACAAGTATTGGTCTTCACAAAGTTCGCTGCTTCAGTGCTATGAGATTTTTGTCAGATAACTACTATGGTATACTGAAGTATAATTAATAATAATATGCCATTTAGCAGACGCTTTTATCCAAAGCGACTTACAGTCATGTGTGCATACATTTTTACGTATGGGTGGTCCCGGGGATCGAACCCACTACCCTGGCGTTACAAGCGCCATGCTCTACCAATTGAGCTACAGAGGACCAAGCATTCCATACGTGTCAAAGGCTTTTATTGACAATTACATTAAGTTTATGCAAAGAGTCAATATTTGCGGTGTTGACCCTTCTTTTTCAAGACTTCTGCAATCCGCCCTGGCATGCTGTCAATTAACTTCTGGGCCACATCCTGACAGATGGCAGCCCATTCTTGCATAATAAATGCTTGGAGTTTGTCAGAATTTGTGGGTTTTTGTTTGTCCACCCGCCTCTTGAAGATCGACCACAAGTTCTCAATGGGATTAAGGTCTGGGGAGTTTCCTGGCCATGGACCCAAAATGTTGATGTTTTGTTCCCCGAGCCACTTAGTTATCACTTTTGCCTTATGGCAAGGTGCTCCATCATGCTGGAAAAGGCATTGGTCGTCACCAAACTGTTCTTGGACGGTTGGGAGAAGTTGCTCTCGGAGGATGTGTTGGTACCATTCTTTATTCATGGCTGTGTTCTTAGACAAAATTGTGAGTGAGCCCACTCCCTTGGCTGAGAAGCAACCCCACACATGAATGGTCTCAGGATGCTTTACTGTTGGCATGACACAGGACTGATGGTAACACTTACCTTGTCTTCTCCAGACAAGGTGTTTTCCGGATGCCCCAAACAATCGAAAAGGGGATTCATCAGAGAAAATGACTTTACCCCAGTCCTCAGCAGTCCAATCCCTGTACCTTTTGCAGAATATCAGTCTGTCCCTGATGTTTTTTTCCTGGAGAGAAGTGGCTTCTTTGCTGCCCTTCTTGACACCAGGCCATCCTCCAAAAGTGTTCGCCTCACTGTGCGTGCAGATGCATTCACACCTGCCTGCTGCCATTCCTGAGCAAGCTCTGCACTGGTGGTGCCCCGATCGCGCAGCTGAATCAACTTTAGGAGACGGTCCTGGCGCTTGCTGGACTTTCTTGGGCGCCCTGACACCTTCTTCACAACAATTGAACCTCTCTCCTTGAAGTGCTTGAAGATCCGATAAAAGGTTGATTTAGGTGCAATCTTACTAGCAGCAATATCCTTGCTTGTGAAGCCCTTTTTGTGCAAAATAATGATGATGGCACGTGTTTCCTTGCAGGTAACCATGGTTAACAGAGGAAGAACAATGATTTCAAGCACCACCCTCCTTTTAAAACTTCCAGTCTGTTATTCTAACTCAATCAGCATGACAGAGTGATCTCCAGCCTTGTCCTCGTCAACACTCTCACCTGTGTTAACAAGATAATCTCTGACATGATGGCAGCTGGTCCTTTTGTGGCAGGGCTGAAATGCAGTGGAAATGTTTTTTGGGGATTAAGTTCATTTTCATGGCAAAGAGGGACTTTGCAATTCATTGCAATTCATCGGATCACTCTTGATGACATTCTGGAGTATATGCAAATTGCCATCATCAAAACTGAGGCAGCAGACTTTGTGAAAATTAGTATTTGTGTCATTCTCAAAACGTTTGACCACGACTGTAGAAGACCTTGTGCATTTCAGGTAAAATAACAACCCAATGTTTATAGTGGGGGAAAAAAGTATTTAGTCAGCCACCAATTGTGCAAGTTCTCCCACTTAAAAAGATGAGAGGCCTGTAATTTTCATCATAGGTACACGTCAACTATGACAGACAAAATGAGAAAACATTGTAGGATTTTTAATGAATTTATTTGCAAATTATGGTGGAAAATAAGTATTTGGTCAATAACAAAATGTTCTCAATACTTTGTTATATACCCTTTGTTGGCAATGACACAGGTCAAACGTTTTCTGTAAGTCTTCACAAGGTTTTCACACACTTGCTGGTATTTTGGCCCATTCCTCCATGCAGATCTCCTCTAGAGCAGTGATGTTTTGGGGCTGTCGCTGAGCAACACAGACTTTCAACTCCCTCCAAAGATTTTCTATGGGGTTGAGATCTGGAGACTGGCCAGGCCACTCCAGGACCTTGAAATGCTTCTTACGAAGCAACTCCTTCGTTGCCCGGGCGGTGTGTTTGGGATCATTGTCATGCTGAAAGACCCAGCCACGTTTCATCTTCAATGCCCTTGCTGATGGAAGGAGGTTTTCACTCAAAATCTCACGATACATGGCGCCATTCATTCTTTCCTTTACACAGATCAGTCGTCCTGGTCCCTTTGCAGAAAAACAGCCCCAAAGCATGGTTTCCACCCCCATGCTTCACAGTAGGTATGATGTTCGTTGGATGCAACTCAGCATTCTTTGTCCTCCAAACACGACGAGTTGAGTTTTTACCAAAAAGTTATATTTTGGTTTCATCTGACCATATGACATTCTCCCAATCCTCTTCTGGATCATCCAAATGCACTCTAGCAAACTTCAGACGGGCCTGGACATGTACTGGCTTAAGCAGGGGGACACATCTGGCACTGCAGGATTTGAGTCCCTGGCGGCGTAGTGTGTTACTGATGGTAGGCTTTGTTACTTTGGTCCCAGCTCTCTGCAGGTCATTCACTAGGTCCCCCCGTGTGGTTCTGGGATTTTTGCTCACCGTTCTTGTGATCATTTTGACCCCACGGGGTGAGATCTTGCGTGGAGCCCCAGATCGAGGGAGATTATCAGTGTGTCTTCCATTTCCTAATAATTGCTCCCACAGTTGATTTTTTAAAACCAAGCTGCTTACCTATTGCAGATTGTCTTCCCAGCCTGGTGCAGGTCTACAATTTTGTTTCTGGTGTCCTTTGACAGCTCTTTGGTCTTGGCCATAGTGGAGTTTGGAGTGTGACTGTTTGAGGTTGTGGACAGGTGTCTTTTTATACTGATAACAAGTTCAAACAGGTGCCATTAATACAGGTAACGAGTGGAGGACAGAGGAGCCTCTTAAAGAAGAAGTTACAGCCCCCCCCCCCCCCCCCCCTCCCCATTTTTACATGATTGATGATATCAGGTATTCAGAGTTATCTTCAACCCTCTGTTTCACCTGAGCTTTAAAGCAGTATTGATTCATACTCCATAACAGTCTAGATGGAGAAATATGCCTACCTTTATTCATCTACCCTTGCATGATCTCTTCTCTGATGTGTTACTCTGGAGAGTGTTGTTTCCTTGGTTTTGGAAGATTTTTTTTTTGCATTTGTACTTTATTATCTTCTTTATTCTATGAAATGCACAGTGTCCTGAGGCATAAAAGGGTATGTAGCACGCTTCTGTCTATAATGAGCTGATCAGTATGTGTAGGTAATCCTTTATAACACTGATAAAAAAAAAAATAGTTCACCACTTTCTGTAGGACCGAGTTTTGAAATCAGTGGAATGCCCTGTGAAGCAGAGTATGATAGCTAAGGAGATGGAGAGAATTCAAGCGTTTGATTGCAAATGCAGAGGGAGTCGAAAAGAGAACAAAGAAGGCTTTTGTATAAAACACCTGTCTCCGGATTACATCTTAAAAACTAAGGGCAACCATGGCATCCGTGACAGAGAGGGAGAAGCGTTCATCCATGTATACGGGTAAGAGAGTCTAGCTAGCTACATCTTCAGATATTATACGTTTCTAATTTTGTCATTGTCGTTTTCATTGCAAATTAAAGCATACTGTTAGCTAACTAGCTAATGTTAGCTGGCTGGCTCGCTAGCTAACGTTACGTGTATGATCTGTCTAGTAATATTATTCATATCTCAGACCATTTACATTGCTAGTTATAGCCTAATGTTAGCTAGCTAATATTGAACCTAGTTGGTTAGCGTTTAGCTGCTACCTGTAGATACATGTAGGGCAGTAACGTTATGAGTTGGGATTATTTAGAGGTCATTGTTTAGCTAGCTAGTTAGCTACATGTCTAAACAAAAGGCTCCACTATGCAAGTAACCATTTCACTGTACCGTTTACACCTTCTGTATCTTGTGCATGTGACAAATAAACCTTGATTTTATTTTATATAGTGTGTGTTTACCAGAGACTGTAATGTGAAGAACAACATGACCTGCACCAAAGTCAAATTAGGATATAACGTTAGGCTAACGAGACAGTGTCCAAATTCTAAATTCTCCGGTAGAATCCCTGCTTTTACACTACAAGCGTAAGCTATTTTCTGTAATTAGCTCGCCAATAACTTGTAAATAATGATCTTGTTGTTAGTTTATTTTCCTGTAATAATGAATGACAACTGTATACAGATATGTAGATAGACATAGTATAAACCAGCCTTTAGTCTTAATCTTTGGTTGTTTAGTACACAACTGTACTCACTGTTTAGCACATTGCCTCACGTGAATCCTTAAAGAGATGGGTGGGGCTAAGGCTTAAGAGGATGTGAACGATGCTGAATGGGTGTAGACAAAGATTAGCTCGCCAGTAGGTGTACCAAATCATTCAAGGGCCATTTTCTCAAAAGTGGGTTAGGGTTAGGAAATGGTGTTTTTACTTTCCCATTGATCCTCAACTGTAGTGTATGATATACCATTTTCTAGCTCTGAGTCTCTACTTTTATTCAATCTAAGAAAACACAATTTCAAATGTTGCTACATAAGACCGAGCCGGTCGGTCACATGTGAAAATGGCGCATTTCTATGTTTTGTAGTAAAACAGATAAAGGATGATGTGTTTCCAATGACATCATCAACCAATTAGTAGGCAATGCCTAATCATAATTGGTTAAAATCACATGCACACCGATGATGTCATTGGAAACACTTATCTTGCTCAATATTATTTTACACAAAACATAAACACTCAATTTTCACATATGTTGATGTTGGAGTGGTGCTGGAGATGATGAATATGAAGTTGAACAATTTAGAAATGTAAATGTGGGTGTACAGGCACACCTCCACAAGCAAATAGTGGATTGAAAAAGGGAGAGTTGTAAATTGTCAGAGGACCCGGAAATCCGTAGAAGTCAAAGACTAAAACTCTCGTCTTGTGCTTGATTTCTGCAGAGTTGAATTTATGTGGAAACTTTACAATTTCCACAAATTGTTTTTAGCAGTCTATTCCTAGCAGCAACAATAAAATACACCAGATATTCACAGGCAGTCTAGTCTACCTCAAAAGGGAAATAAAGGGACTGTCATCAAGGTGTCTAATGACTGTGTGTCTGTGCGTGTGCCTGTGATAAGTGTGCACATACCTGTGTGTGCGTGCATGTCTTGTCAGGATTGAGCACATTTTGTTATTCCCAACACCTCTCTCTCCTCCACGGAGGATGAACACTTGACACAGACTGTCTACCCTCAAGTGTGCCACACCCCACCCCTCTCTGTCCCTTTTTCCATGTACCCAAGTCGCCCCTCTCCCCATTCCACCCCTTTGTCTGTCCTTCTGCTCTCTGTGCCCTGTCTATAGTGTATACCTTCAGTGTCCCATGCTTCAGTGCCCAGGATCCTGCCAGTCAAGCTAAAGTTCCTTTGTCTGAGCCCCCCCCCCCCCCCCCCCGCCCTCCCTCTCCGCCTCCATCTCTGTGAATCTAATTAGCTGATATGCTAATAGTTCCTCTGCTAGCGATTGGCGGCAGGGCTAACTAACTGGCCCAATAGTCTGTAGTGGAGCCAAGCGGGAGCCGGGATTAACCCTGGTATCTCTTCCCCCCGCTGAGGCCTCGCAGGGTCCCTCCAAATGAAAGCTGTAATTAAGGGGCACGAGTAAATGTAATTACTCCTGATGACTGCTATAGAGAGTGTGTGTGTGTGTGTGTGTGTGTGTGTGTGTGTGTGTGTGTGTGTGTGTGTGTGTGTGTGTGTGTCAGACACTGTGTATCCGTGAGTGTGTGTGTGTGTGTAGTGTGCGACTGTATCTGTGTGTGTTCATATGGGAACTGTCCTCATGAGGAAAGACATAACTGCCACTGCTGCGGTTGGGCAGTGATCAAGATAACACTGTTGTGTTGTGACAGGGAGTAATGTGTTAATGTCTCCATATCATCATGCCAGGCACAACGGCATCATGAGACGTTAAAATGGAAATTGATGTTGCTATGAATCTAAGAGATTGTGGAGGTGTTCAGAAACTGATGGTTACCTGGCTTGCAGATCGTCATTAAGCTTTAGGGCATGTTATTTGCATGAGTAATTAAAGCAACCCTCCATCCCCTTAAAATGCTTCTTATTTTTGTGGAGGAAGGGTTGTGTCTGAAATGGTCCTCTATTTCCTATATGGTGCACTTCTTTTGACCAGGGCCCATAGGGCTCTGGTCAAGTAGTGTACTATTTAGGGGATAGAGTGCCATTTTGGATGCAGACAATGTCTATAAATTACCCCAACCAACAGAAAAGTTTAGAGCAACCCTCCCTCCCCTTAAAGTTATTTTAATTTTAGTCCTGACTATGCTTTCTCAGTGCTGAGCAACACAACAAAACCATGTCTGCTTCCCAAGTAGCACCATTTTCCCTATATAGTGCACCTTTTTTTACACCAGAACCCTATGGGCATTGGTCAGAAGTAGTCGAACTATGTAGGGAATAGGGTGCAATTTGGGATGCATTCTAGGGCCTTTTCAGCATCTCCCTGTATGTAACTTCTCCTCTGTCCCGTTTTGGAAAAACATCATTTCCCCCCCAGAATTGTTATGTTTAATTGTGACATTACAGTAAGAAATGAAAGGGGGAGATAGATTAGAGTGAAGTAAAGAGGAAGAAGGCGGATGCGGGACTGAACCCCTGCCACTACGAGCCATATGTAGCCTAGTCAGTGGTTTGAAACCACTACCACTAGACCAGATCCTGGGACTGAAATAGTTTTCAAGTGCTATGTGGGAAAAACACTGCTTTTGTATAATATTAATTTCATACACTTGGGACCCGTAGAGTGGAAAGCTGGAAATGATGCTCCAGGTTTTAAAAAGTGCCTCCTTGCTCTTATGTGGGCAAACCACTCCTGTCAGTTCTTCTCTTTCACTTGGGACTTGAAGAGTGGCGAGAAAGAGATACTACACTAAAGCTTGCTTTATGTTAATCTGTGTTGCGTCATTAGCCAACGGCCAGAAGTGTGATGCGCGCATTCTGCTCTTAGTCATCACACAGTTCTTTAATTTCTCAAATGGTTTCTTCAGATACGTAGGACTTGGCCATGGTTACACCTGATCTGTAGAAGTTTGTGGTAGCCTAGGTCATGGGTTCATTTCACTTCAGGGATCTCATACACAAACAAAAAATGTAGGCCTATACACTCACTGTACTGTAAGTTGCTTTGGATAAAAGCTTCTACTAAGTAGCTATTAGATGAGTTTTCAAGTTCCCTGCACTCCTCTAAGCTACTGCTGTCCCCTTGTCTCTGTCTCTCTCTCTCTCCCTCTCTCAGAGGGGTAGAGGTGTGCCTGCAGGCAGATGGCTGGATGGCTGAGAGTGACCATGAAGCAGGAGAAGGACCTCAACGCAGCCGTATTAACAGACACAGCCTGGTAGGTAACACACGTACACACACACGCATCCCTGCAAGCAAGGAACAAAACAAAATGGAGGCAATTAACCTGCTAAATCTAAAACTCTGGAGAGTAAAAATTTATAGCAGAAAACAATTGAGTGGATTGGTTCACTCCGTAGAGGGGCCTTCTGGCACCTGAATACACAGCAACTAAACTGACGAGTTATTGTAAAAAAGCTGCAGTGATGGAGTATGACTCTTGGCTTGAAAAGCAATGTCATTACAATGCTGCCCCAATATAATAGAATAGAGTAGAATTGAATTGAATATAGTAGAATAGAATGCAATATCAGTAAGGGATAAACACCAACATTCTGTACATTACCTTGGAAATAATGGACGACGCAGCGGAGTCCTTTTTTCCAAGGTAATGTACAGAATGTCGCCGTTTATCCCACTTATACCACAGTTGCCAAAGAAAACAATATGAAAGCACACATTTACTGGTATAAATATATATATATATATATTTTTTGTTGATATTTTCGTTTTTATAAGCAAATTCATACTTTCACATCTTTTGGTTGTTAGCGACACAACCCAGTCATTCGTTCGATTAGTTCGATATTTATGGATGTGACCCAGCCGTTCGTTCTTTATGTTCCATTACCATGCTCTCTGGCAACTTTCTTATCCCTTACTTGCTATCTAGCCGGCTAGCTATGGCTAACACAGTCATGACCTCTGCAGCCAGAATAACAGCAAAGGAGCTGTTTTCATATTGACATTCATTTGGATACATCCATAACAATGAGCTGATAATGCCCGATTTTGCCTGGCATAGCTAGAAAAGTTTGCCTTTTCGTCAGGACACTTGTCAACACTGACTGTTAATTACGAGGAGATTGCATTGCATATCAAACACTAGGCTAGAAGCTATAGTTTGTTGTTAGCAAACCTGCCAATATGACAACCGAATTCAAAAATATCAGTTGCTGAAAACAGCTGGTCAAACTAGAAACATACAGGAGAATTTGAAAGTCATGTTCATCACTCACCATGTCAGATGCTCCAAAAATTTTTTTGCTGCAAAAACAAATCAATGCTAGCTAGTTAAGTTATTTCCTCGCTGGACCTTTCGTTTACAATGTATCCAATTTTGGTTTGTGTGGTTGTTGGTTTAGCTTTAGTATGGTCTGCATGTGTAGGGGCATTTTGTGTCATGATTGCAAGGTGTCCCGATATCTTTTCCAACTGTTCCGATATCTGGTTTTAATGTCCATCCTAGAATGCCATTCTAGCCAATCAGAAGAGAGTATTCAACAATTCTGTGGTATAATAGAGTAGAATGCAATAGAGTAGAATGGAACAGAATGAAAGCTGCCCCGTTGTTGCGGTTATGTAAGAATTGAAAGGTCCTGGCTATGATTTTTGCATTGATTCATCATCATTTAAACTCATTACAGAACAAGGAGAAATTATCTCTCTGTTGTGCAGACACTTTGTTCAGACACTAGGCTATTCTTAGTGGGACTCATTTAATCCTGAGGCACTAGAATGGTTAGTATCGTTTAGGATCCAGGAAGAAGATACAGATCTCTCTTCTCTCTGTTCTCTTTATTCTCCCTCTGTATGTGCAGGGCTTTGATTAATTTGTAAGGGCTTGCCTACCGTAATTTACAAGATTGATGAAACAAATGAAACCGCCTCACTTCTCCTTGTTAGAAGAAGAATAATACTTTGTTTCATTTTCCTTACAGTCCACAGAAATGTGTTTTTGTCTCAATAACCCATGTTTTATTTGACTTTTGACGTTAAAGCCTTCTCTCGTTTCTCTCCCATCTTCCTATTCTACTGTATTTGACTCTACTACATGATTCTATTTGACTGTTCTCTACTCTGCTCTTTTTTACAATATTTTATTCTACTCTACTCTATTGTACTCTACTGTCCTCCACTCTTCTCTACCCCAGCTGCCCCCACTGTTCGATGGTTGTTTCTTCTACCTCATGAGCTCCTCCAGCTGGTGAGAGAGGAAGGGGGCCAGATACTGGCCCGACAGCCCAAACCAGACAGTGATGTGACCCAGACCCTGTCTGCTGCAGCCTACCACGCCCCGCCTGGCTCGTACCAGGCCCTGTGTACCCAGTACATCATCTATGATCCCCTGGGCCCCTACAGGCCCCCCAGGGTGAGGTTAGGAAAGGTGTGGTCAGCTCTGTCTATATGGGTTGTAAAATGTATATCGGCCTTCCAGCTACTGTCAGTGCCTGAGCCATAGACACACAAGGTAAGCACCAAACTGAGAAAAATGGACTGAAATGGGGAGGGACTTAAATTGTCCAATAAGAAATGCCAATTTGCTAACGTTTTTGTTTTACGTTTTTAAACTTTTTCTGTTTTGTGGCTTAATGAACATTACCCTGGACTGGTTCTGTCTGCTTGCAACCTGACATCAGGGTCTAGTCAGAATAAACAGACAGCCAGCTGTGATTCTATGTCAACTGTAACCTTGAAGTAAGGGGATTCACTGACTCAAATATAGCCACCAACCACCACAAGCCATGACTTGTTGTTTTGGTCTGTAGCTCAAAGATAAGTTAATTTAGTGTTTATTTTTGTTATCCTTCCCTGCTCGATGATGATCAAAGATTATAAACATTTCAGCACTTTTCAGTATGTTGAATGAGAAAGTGGAAAATCAGTCATTTTTCTTCTCCTGGGGATCTTTTCATAACGTCAGTACTTTTGAGAAGACCCTTTTCTTTGAAAGTATTTTTAATTGAATTGTGACTACCCGTATTCTCTGTTTACTATGACTTGTCTGCAATTTCCTTTAAAAATAAATAATGAAACTGTTTTTGAAAGCAGCCATTTTCAATACTAAAGTCACCTCTTCCCTCTGTGCTGTTCAGAATGAATGGTTCAAAATAAACACCATTGTTGCAGTAACAAAATTACATAGTTGCAATGAAATGCATTATTTGTCCTGACTGTAATTCATCTTAATGATATATTTCCAATACAAACTCTCCTATCCCTGGTCTAGACCAAGTCATCTCCAATTTAAAGGAATGGGCTCATTCACGTCTAATTGGGAGTGTCAGCCCTTTAAAACTAAAGGGGGAGGGGGGGAGTGGGTCTCAAAATATCGATTCTAAAGCGAGACGAATAGTAGAGCAGAAAAGAGGAGAGCAATTAATCGTCTAGTCACCAAGTTGGCACTTCCTGTGGAAACTGAAAACAAACAAGTTTTCTTTTCATTTTGTCTCTGGCAGCAAGAAGACAAGAAAAACCCCACCAACCAACATTACCCACCAGACAGCGCACAGCCCACTACTTTACAGACCTGGGTTTAAATAGTATTTTAAATATACTTAATCTGTGTTTGATGGAGCTTGCCTGGCTTAATGGAAGCAATAAAACAGTTCCAAAACGGCAAACCCTGCCTATCTGGCACTCCAGGCAGGTTAAAGCTTTAGATGCAAAAGTTGTTGAAAGATTTCAAATAGTATTTGAACCCAGGTTTGCTGCTGCAGCTTTCTGTCTCTGAGCCCCAGAGGTCCTGGGTGTCTCCCAAATGGCACCCTATTCCCTAGTGCACTACTTTTGACTAGGGTCCATTCACATAGGGCTCTGGTCAAAAGTAGTGCACTATATAGGGAATATAGTGCCATTTGGGACAAAACCATCCTCTCTTGGCTATCTCCCAGGATGCCCCTCTCCTTCTCAATAGGATTAGTCAGGGATAGGCCTAATTGCTATTGATTGCTGTGTGCCGCATTAAATTGCTTCCTCCTTCCTGTGCATGCGGGAGGTGGAAGGGGGAAATTAGTGGTGCGGACAGACAGAACCTCGGCTCAGCCTGGTAATGAATAGGAATGTGGAATAGAACCAGAGAGTTTAAGCAGTTATAGAGTTTGTATCCCAAATGGCACCCCATTTCCTACATAGTGCACTTCTTTTGACTAGAGCCGTATGGGCCCTGGTCAAAAGTAGGGGAAAGGGCACTATACTGTATAGGGAAGAGGGTGCCATTTGGGACAAATACAAAGGAAAGCCCTGACTCACTTCATTTAGTAGACCTCAGAAATGTGATTTCTCTGACATTATATCCTCTGTCCATACATCAATAACGTACCTACCCCCAAACCAGTATCCTCCTTTTCCTGGTTTTCTATAGGAGTAGGCTATGACCCAGGCACTATCCTCCTAAGAGTTATTTTCTGACCTCTGAATGGTTTGTCTGACTGGTGTTACTAGGTTGTGGGGAGCTAGCGAGCTACATTCTGTTCTCTTGCTCCCAAATACATGGGGATGTGAAGGAGCATGATGCTTCAGATGTAAGTCATATAAAATATTGTCCATGTCAGTGGTGAAGAATTGGAAGTAAAATGTTAACACACACCCCAACATGTTTCTCTCATTTGTGGTGCAGGGAATTACAGACCATACGTTTCATTCAGAGGTCATATTTTGAACAAGGCGTTACCTTTCCTACAATAAAGTGGTGAAGAATTGCAGTATCTGCAATCTGTGCACTCTCACCCTGAGCCTGAGTAGAGATGTGGAGGACAGTAGGTGGTAGGAGTGGGTTTCCTCCTGGGCAATAGAAGAAAGAACAACACACACACCTTTGTTGTATAATAACACTTATTTTTCAGTCTTTAACAAAATAGTTTTTGTCTTCATAAATAATACACATTTTCTTTTCTCCACCTCTGATTTCCAGAACACACACAATACGTTTTGAAGGTATTTACAAGTTATTATACACTATGAAGGGCACCAAGGGTTGTTTCATTTCATTTGGAATAAACATTTGGAGTGTTTGGTTAGATGTACCCACTATGTCTTCTAAACTGTGGTGTAGAGGTGTGTGTGTGTGTGTGTGTCTTGTTACTTCGAACCAAACCCTGTCTTTATTTTATTATTATAATTTCTGGCTCTAATTCAATATAACATTAAATTATAACAATCAGAGTTAATATTTGTATCATCTTTAGGATTAACCCCCAGTGCCCATGTAATAATACAATTTGTTTAATGTGTTTTTCTCTCCTTATTAGATAGTACTCTGTTGGTTTTTCAGGCACACTTTATGTAACAGTGTTTTTTTTTTTTTTAAGCAATATAACAATCTTTCATATCGTCCAGCTACAATAAGTCTGTGTCTCCTGAAAAGAGCAATGGTATGGTACACCTTTACAGCATGGCGACAGGCGGTGAATGAGCAGTGTTTGGAGTTGGTTGGCAGGCGGGTGAGTGCATGAGTAGTAGGCTAGACTTTCAGGGCCAGAAACACAAAAGACCAGACTCTTTTATGAACAGAAAATGAACAGGGATATTGACTGCTCCCTCAGACTATCTTTTGATACATTTTTTAACCTATTACTGAAGGCTAATTCTTGACTCCAGCTGGAGTCTCAGAGTTGGATTCAAAATCTACTGCACACTTCTGAATATTTTCATATCGAATTGGAAGGTCACTGAACAGTTGGACTACTTTGAAAGCTCCCTGTAGTAACCCATTGTACAACTGTTCATGAGACAAACAAAAATGTGAATGTCAATATAGCGTAAGTATCAGAATAAGTGGTTATCAATATATTTGTGAGATGGGTTATTTCAACATGATCTTAGACCGGAGGGTCTGCTCTGCATGAGCTTGAGGGAGTTACTAAGGGGTCACTGCTGACCCTACACCCCACACGACCCCTCGAGGATCCCTTCCCTATCCCCAGAGCTGTATACTGTATGTGCATTGTTATGATAATAATACATTGCATTTGTAGAGCACTTTTTGTTTACAGACGTAAATCACAAAGCTCTTTGACATTGAGGGCAAACATTAAAAGATAAAAGCTTTAAAATAAAATAAAAAAAAGGGCTAAAAAACATTAGGCGAGAAATTAAAAGATAGCTAGTGGCCTAGTTCTATACAAGATACACAAAATAATAAAGGAGGACAAGGACAAAACAAGAATCTATATCCAGTCATAAAAATGAATTACACACTGAAGAGAAAATCCCAGATATCAGGCCTATGATAGACCTAATTAAAAGAGATGACTGATAAAGCTGTCTAAAGGTGTCATGGAGTCGCATACAATGTATGGACCTGTAGAGTGATGTGTAGGTATATACTGTCTGTGTAGGTATTCTGGCTTGATAAATGCAGTCTCTCTTCTCATTATGAATGACTCATTCATCACGAGCCAAGGTCATGATCAAAATGACCTGAGCAACTCTGACCATAATGATGCAACCGGAATTTAAGTCAGTTTCCCTTATTCGTTCATCATCTGAATTCCCCATAATTCAATAGTAATAAGACTGCAGGCAGCTGAGTAGAACAGAATGTAGTCTACAATACAGTGGCTGCACTGCAGACAGAGATGTGTTTGGGAGGGGAGGCTCATTAGGTAATGTATATGTTGGTTGTGTCCCAAATGGGACCCTATTCCCTCTATAGTGCACTACTTTTGACCAGGGCCCATAGGAAATGGGGTGCCATTAGGGATGTAGACTATGTGATATTCTATTCCTCCTCCTCTAGTCAGGGGTCTCCTGTGTTCATTTCTGTCTCATTACCAGGAGCTGGAAGGCGTTATTAAGTAGTTCATCCATCAAACAGGAGGAATAGCTTCTAAAAGGTTAACAGGAATGGATTTACACTGAAGCACACACAAAAAGCATCAGTGATAAATTGCATGGGCTTAGTAGGAAATTCGCCTTTGAATAATGACTAGTATTCATCATTTCAAAAAGAAAGAGAGCGTGGGTTGTGCACGCTACCCAGGTTATGGGTGGGGTTGGTTGGAGTGTGATGCTGAAACCAATAGGAATCTATAGGCAAAGCAATGCATTAGCTCAAACAGAATCTATTGTGTAATCTATAGACAGGAGGAGAGGAGCTTTTTTATCTCGGCGAGAGCCTTATTGGCTTAAGTGCTTCTTCTTGGGGTGCAGTGTATAAACATTTTTTAAGGTGAAAATGAATTGCCAGGACTATATGTATGGGCCTATAGAGGATGAAAGGGTGTGCATACAAGTATGTGTGTGCATACGTGTGTGTGTGTGTGTGTGTGTGTGTGTGTGTGTGAGTGCTCCTTTGCTTTGAAGCATCAAGAAGACATATGCAGATTTCCCCTTTGTCTCTCTCAGAGTTCTTGCCAAGTGTGCTGGGTGCTTGGCTTCTGCTTGCAGACAAAATGCGGGCGGCATACTGCTGAGTGCAGAGAGGCCCGGCCTGAATACTCCTTGATTAAGGGAAATTAA